GGGGGAGGGGGAGGGAGGGGGGAAATGAGGAGTTGATGCTAGGGGCTTAAGTGGAGAGCAAACGTTTTGTAAATGATGATGATGAGGGTAATGAATATACTAATGTGCCTGATACAATTGATGTATGTATGGATTGTGATAAGAGTCGGATGAGCCCCCAATAAAATGATTAAAAAGACAAAGTCTGTGGATAGTCGCCCAGGAGGAAAAGCCCTATCCTGGGGGAGGGGACAGCAGGTGGATATCCTGGGGGAGGGGACAGCAGGTGGATATCCTGGGGGAGGGGACAGCAGGTGGAGCCCTCTGGAGGGAGTGACAGAGAAACCCCAGCAGGTGTTTGCTGGGTCCGAGCTTGGGTGGAGGGAGGGAGGATGCCAGCCTCGGGGCCTTTCCTGTACACAGCCCAACCCACTCGCTGGACTGGCCTCCACCATGACCTCTCCCCAACCTCTTGACCCAGGCCAGCCGTTCCACCACCCTGGGCCAGCAACACCCTTGGGTCTCTAAGCCTGTCTTCCTCTTTGCGTATTGGCCGACTCACTTGCACGCTTCCTCACGGAGAAAGCTCATCTTGCATTTTCAATCAGGGGTCTTCCCGTCCCCCCCCACGCTGGGAATACGTGCGCCAATGCACACACACAGACCTGCAATGAGGTACTCCTTCTTGCCTCCAACATCCAGCGAGACCCCACACACGGCCGAGGAGGGGGCTGTGAAGATGACCTCGATATCCTTCTCAGGCCCCTTAAACATCTGGAGGAGAGAGGACAGGGGATGGGTCAGAGGTGGCGTTCCCACCTGAACTTAACCAGCGGCCCAATGGCTGTCCCTATTCCAAAGACTCTCAGCAGGGTGGGCGTGACAGTCACTGGGTGGTGGGCTTTCTCAGCCCACACCTGATGATGAAGTCATTTCTGAGCCCTTGGGGGGAGGGGCTGTGTGGTTCCAGGTGATTCTGGCCCAACCTGGGAACTGCTCGGACTCAGGGGCCAGAACCCAGGGGCCACAGTCAATTGGGCTCCATGGGTTTTCCAGGACGGGT